GTCAAAATTTTCTCGGAAGCTAAAGATAAAAAATCGAAAAATTGTCGAACATTTTTATTTCACTAAACTATTTCAAAGACATATCATCTGATGCCGTTTTTGACGCTGATTCCAAATATTACCTTAGTTTTGTTTTTAAGTGAAGTTTTGATGACTAAAATCTCGAAAAACTGAAAACTCGCGGTTCGTCGGCCATTTTGTGCTCAGTTTGTGGAAAATTGAATTCTGTATCACATTTGACCTTCGAATTATTAGCAAAATTCTGTTTAGAGGGTCAAAAGTGGCATTTTCTCGAAAATTCTGACCGTTCAAAATCCCAATTACCCAACTGCTGTGGGTTTTAAACAGTCACCTTCCACTTCAGAAACATTAGACGATATGATTCGCTTTTTATCCGGCTTTCGAATGAGATGTTGTTCGAACGAAACGGATAAAAAATGGCGAAGTTATAGCCAAAGTATCAGAGATGCTTACTTTTTGCAAATCGACCATGGTGCTCATTTTGTAAGTTCTATAACTCAGTCAGAATAAGTCAGAAAGTTCTTTTTTATGTTTCGTAAGCCCATTGGTGATAGTAGAATCCGGATATGAAATAAAAAGTATGCGTCAATTTTTCACGCGTGACCTGCCTTTGGCAAGATACTCGATCGACTGGCGAAGTCTCTCTTAAACGAACACGTAAATATTCTCATTGGAAAAGAGTTTCCTTTTCATATGACGAGGTCATGGCAAACCTCAATATGTACCAGATTCACTTTGTGATTATCTGATTGACCGGCAACTGATTATCTGTCGCAGAGAAGTAGACACTCAGGTAGTCCTATACGTTGCATAGTCATATTGAAATATTTTCTATCTATCCCAATGTGTTTCTCATGGTCTTCCCATGGTTTGTCGTTGTCATACAGCAGAAGAACAGACAAGCAGATACTCCTATGTCTTGCATAGTCAAATACAAATATTTTGTGTCTAAAGCAATGTCTCTCATGATCTTCCTGTTGCATGTCTTTGTCATAGAGCAGAGTAGCAGACAATGAGATGCTCCTGTGCGTTGCATAACCATATCTGAATCAGTCTATAGACTATAGTGTGTTAAATCTTTTCGAACTCACTCTCAGCTTCCTTTGGCCTGTTTATTTTTAGGATCCGTATTTTCGAATGACACGCGATGTTGCACTGCGACTAAATTTTCCAAAACCGGCGCTATTACATTTACGAAGAATGAAGATGTTAAATAGCGACGATGTGGAGTAGAATTATTAACATCAAGGTCAGATTTTTGAACAGACCGATGGTGTGACTATTATAAAAGCTGAAAAAGATCTCAAATAACTGAGCTAAACACGTCAGTTATAATCTTTATTCTCTCTTATTTCACATGATACTTCTGGTTTTATTGTTGATTGGCGGTGATACTACTAAATTGTAATTGTTTATAGGGTTATTCGAGTGGTCAAATATTGACGGGTGAATTAAAGAAAACGTTAATTGAAATACTACAAAAATTGGTAGCCGATCATCAAGTGAAACGACAGCAAGTGACAGATGATATTGTTAGAGAGTATATGAGACCGCAAGAATTAAAGTTTCGATATTAACCCAGTGCTTGTTATATCTTTTTAATTTTAAACTGTTTTTTATCGTTGTTGTTAAAGTGTTAAATTCTTCTTCACTTTTTTCCGTTATTGTGGATTCCAACTCAACTAATCAATTAAAAGATACACAAAAATGGTTAATTCAATAGAGTGAAGTGATCGAAGAAATAACAACATTGGCATCTATGATTCTAGTGGGTATGCTAATCGAAATTAAATCGCGACTTCGTATAACATGGAATACGAATTACTAGGATTGTCATTAGGGTTGTAGCTAAATACTCACTTGGAATACGTTTTGGTCATGAAAATCGTCTGGAAAACCTGAACTTCTCTGGATTGACTTAAAAGTTGACTTTATACTTACGGATTTCCGGTGTAGTGAATATCCTCGAAAAATTTGCAGTTCACTTTCAAATAACGTTTACTGATGGAGGTGCATAAAAAGGAATCGATGATCACTGTTCGGTATAAATTGATTATGCCAATATTTTCTTTGTTTAGATTATATTCGACAGTATTTTGTTGCATCTAGTGATGTATGAGATAACCGACATGCCTCGTTTTTGTTGCAGATCACCATAGACTAATGCCTGTTCGAATGTACTTTATCCATAAACCGCTATGATTCGCCACTAGTTAGAATAAATGTTTTGATTGGTATTGTGGTTTTTTTGGATAAATTAAATAATTTCATTTTTCATAAAGCAGCATGAAGATATGAGTGGTTGGACCACGAAGAAATACATCACAATTTTGAATCGTGATGGAACTTCTTTGGGCTTGTTTCTAGCAGTTTTTATCAGTGTATCAATATTATTTCGCGCCATTATATTAAGATAGCATATTTTAAAATGACATTTTTTTTGGAAACCAACTATATTTTGACTGTGGATGGATTTAAGCTTGAGCGATCTTGCCTTACATTCTGGTCAGTGGCACCGAAGTTTTGGTCAGCCGCAGCTGAGGTACACGGAGATAAAAAGATATCGTTTCACTAAACGAGCGAAATTTAGGAAGTACACCAATCAAGAACATAGCAAATGGTCTTTACGTTGATAAACCAAAACAACTATACCCTTTAACTAAACTACTTAGGTCGATTCGATTTAAATGAAATTCGGTTCGATCCGATTGGGCTAAAGATCGGATCGAATCGAATGCCGAATTAATCGATTCGTCTGGGGCTCTGGTACATATTTCTAGAAGCTAGGCGAATCCTACATAATCTCGTTATCGTATCATCAGATAACGGATTGGATAATCAACGAGGTCTCAGAAATATCATTTTTACTGGCTAATAATCACAAAACTATATAATATCGAGACAGGTGATAGAATTTGAAATTCTCTACAAGATGATATAATTTTTAATTATTTTTCTTTAAATCTTGTGTTGAAACTTAGTTGTTTAAAATTATCGCAGCTATTTTTGCTGTATTGACCATAATTATCTCAATTGCTATCTAGAAATTAATTAGTACTAATTAACGCTGATGACTTTTAGGAAAAGATTTACATCAGTTGATAGTTAGGAGTCATCGCTATTTACCAGTAAAATATCGCTTTTCCCGGATAAAATTGAGCGAACCATGGAAGCCATACGACCAAATTTTGAGGACCTGATCATAATTATTTCAAGGTACACTATTTTAATTGTTTATATATTTTTCGTTGCACCCTTCTTCTCATTGAATGAATCGCAGCATTAGCTAGCCAAAACCATCATAGTTGTCAGAAGCACGTCGATTTTATGCTTCGGTACATCTCATCGAAGCCTTGCGAAAAACACCTGGGTATAGTGTCCAGATGCTTCCTATTAGTGACGAAACGAGAAAAACGACGGTAGTACGGCCGCGTCGTAGTTTTTTTCAAACATTTATTTAAGGTAGTGTAAGTTCTTTTTTTACCCGATTTTATACTTTTTCTCGGTGGCACGGCAAAAATTCTCGTTGGTACGGCGCCGCCGTACTGTGGTTACCCCACTACTTCCTAATCCTAAAACAAACAACTAATGTAATCACTACTACTCTACCAAATACACATTATGGATATGATGCTTGTATCAAATTGAAAAGCAGAAAGAGGAGCTCAAAAACTAAAGTAACATAATTACACGAATTCAAACAGCGAACAGAGATCACATTCAGACATTAGATTACTGTTATTGTTAATTCGAAACTGAACCGTTAACGTAATTATGTTGTTTTTGGTTGCGTCGAAACAGTTTTCTGTCAACTGTTGATGACAATTTTAACGAGTTCTTCCGTTTTTCTCCTGTTCTTTTGAAATTTTATCAACTGTTGTGAGTTCACAAAATTTATGCGTTGTTCGACAGAATACTCTATAAAATAGAGTTGAAGGCATTCACATCGCACATTTATCCAACAGAGATCACATCGGAATGTCATCACTATGCAATCAGCTCTTCGTCAGCCCAATCTCGAATCTTGTACCAAGATCATTCGTATCAACTCCTATCAATACTTCAAATTGTTCTTTTCTTTCTTTAGATTCGTCCTTGTATTCACCGTTCAACTCTTCCTTTCAACAGCCAATTGATCTAAATCCAATTCTTCCACAACAAAATCCATTCGACCAACCATTCTTCTCCATCGACTATTCAGACTATTTTGCGGTGAGTGAGCTGCGTTTTTCACATATTGTCTCACATATGGACTACTAGTCCGTGATGAGCAGTGTAGTTGTTTAGTGTGAACTGATACTTGTCGTTGTTTCACATTACCATATTGATTAGACGTGAAAATATGAATGCAACTTTCGAAAAACAACATTTCGTTCGTTAAGTGCCTATCAGCTCTTCTCTAATACGCACTGTTTCTTTTAGACTTCACCACCACCGTCGATCGTCGATCCGAGTTCACGAATTCAAGTCAACGACTGCTCTTCTAGTCGAAAACGGAAAGCCCCAGCGAATGATGACGTCACGATGGTGTGTTCTCACATCTGATGAAATATTACCATATCTAGCATCTTCTTTTCGACCTAGATCCGTCGTCCAACTTCAACGATTAAACGTCAAAAGTCTACTCGATTTGATCCCGATCAAATATTCGAATTGGAAACGCATTATAGTCAAGTTGATAAATATTTATCAAAGCAGGCTGCTCATAAATTATCAGCGAAAACTGGCTTATTAGATGATCAAGTGAAAAGATGGTTCAATAACAGAAGACAGCGTGACACAGACTTGTGAAGCACTTTTTTATTTGTTTTGTTGTACGTAGTTGATTTTTAGTCGATCGAATAGAAGCTAAATGAGAAGGAATGGACTGATTTGTGCTTACAGAGCTGTTTCGGACTGATTTCTATACCATCTGTTTTACCAATCTTTCATGAACTTTGAACATAGTTTTTGTCTCTTGGACATGTACGATCCTATGATAGGTTGTTATATGATCCTTACCACAGGAATCTTGATAGGATTTATGCGATGATCCTATATGAGGAAATCCTATGATTTCCTATAATAAGATTTCGTAGGAATTGATGGGATCTTACGTAGGAATCCTACGAAGTCTTATAGTCTGTGGGATCTCATAAGATCTTGTAAGATCCTACACAGGATTCATTGACCTGGGAGGTGCTGTATACTTGGTTTAATTTATATACTTTCGTATTTGATACACTAAGGTGAATATTCCATCTAGAGGTAAAAGTTTTCGTTTTCGTGTTTTCATTAGTGGATTGTATAGTTCAATATCCGGACTATCTTTCACGTATAAAAGATTCTGTTTATCTCTTTTCGAACGATCGGAGAAGTAGACCAAATGAGTTCAAAATGTCTCGAACTTTTAAAAGTAAATTTTTCTCCACTGAAAGAAAGTTTAGTTTGAAAGGCATTTTGGGAATAAATAGATACTGGTCCCTGACAAAATGTTGTCGTTTTCGTAACGTCTTCACTGAGATACAATCCATATTTCAATCAAGTATCTCAGTTGAGAAACCAATATTTCTGTGAAAATATTCGTTGTCAATTGAGATAGATTGGACAGAGGTGAAAAAATTGAAATGTCGTGTCAAGAGAGCAGACGACTATTAGAGATATGCAGGGCGCCCTTACTCTACCCTACCCTGCGGGGAATCTTATTCACTTTTGAACATAATTGGGCTAATTTTTCCAATGATTTCGCATATTCATGTAAATTTGTTTCTGATCGATAAAGAAAAATTCGACCTAAATAAAACGTATCACCAACAAACAATACACCATTCTGTTCATCAAATAATGATATACAAGCGGGTGTATGTCCTGGTGTTGTTAATATTTCTAATCGACGATTATTACCCATGTCTATTTTATCGCCATCTCGTAGATAATTCTTGATTTAAAATGGACGAATTCGGTAAGATCTTGGATCAAAGTCTGAAGGTAAATACTTTTTCCATATTATACCTAAAGAAGAAAATGAGTTAGCTAAACTTTCACAGTAAAAATACGACGACCTGTTTAATAGTAGGTAATTGGCCGCATTTAGTTTATAATAGGATGATGTGTTGGAATCGAAAATGCGAACATCTCATTTACCTGGTTCCAACTCTGCTTGTGCATCAGTGTCGTTTCCTTGCATAGTTGTTCGTGTAAAGTTTGTGTCAATTCCATAGATATCTTCAAATTGCCAATTATCACCAATATGATCATGATGTGTGCGCGAGCTAATCACACTCAGAGGTAATTGAATATTGTCTTTTGCTGTTAGTTCACCAACTACTTGCTTAATATTTCCAATACCCATTTCCGTATCAAGCAGAAGATTCTTGTGTGAACCATAAATTAGGTAGGAAATAACTTCTTTCCAATGATACGGTTCATAAATAGCATATACTCCCAAACACACTTTATACACCTGAAACCATTGCTGTTGAACATGAATTTGTTCTAAAGAAGCATATTGTGGACGAGGAAGCTTTCGACACCATTCCGGCATTGAACTATCTGATAATGATAGTAAGGAAGCCATAGATCTAGGACCTGCAAGGATCAAAATGGGGCTTTCGGGACTCGCCGAAAATGTTTGTCCAGATAAGTGCTCGAGAGTTTGGGTCTGCGTTATTCTTTGCCAAACTCATACAGCTAGCTTTACACAGCCGGAGTTTTAATTTTTCTTTTTACTGATTTTTGGTAACGTTTGGTTCTCAAAAACTCCAAAATCTCTGTGGCTTTTTCCAGAAAATCATTATCATTCTGCTGGCAATAAAAGAAATAAGATTGTAGTATATAAGAACGAATCTTTTCCTGATCTTGTTCGCCACAAAGAAAAATGGCACGAAGAGCAGGAAAAAATTAAGCGAGAACTTTTGCATTTGGAAGATGATAATAACATCACCGACAAAGAACTCGATGCCATCGGCAAATTTTTTAAGAAACATAAAAAGTTTTTCTCAATTCATTATCTTCGTAAGAAGAGAAAGGAGTCAATGAGAAAGTTCCCATTATTTGTACGATGCACGGTGCGTATGTTCAGTTCGAATATTCTAATAATAAAAACTACTGTATTTATAGCGAAACGGCAAAATCTTCATCTTCATCTTTTACCATGGATAACCTTCCATTTGAATATGGATGGAACACTTATTGGCAACAAGCATATTGTTGCTATATCGGTTAACTGTGTTGAAGGTGGTTCTGATTACCCATCACCAAAAGCTTTAGTACCAGTCGGACTATTGTCTTAGCTTTTTTTCCTTTTGCGTTCCATTTCGTTTTTCTTTTTCTGTGTTTTACCCCACACCGCAAGGTAATGGGTCTATCTATCTATTCAAGAGGATACAACGCATGGGAGACGTCCTGAAGCTCCAACGGCGCAGTTACGGCCGGCGTATTTACGGTGTAGTTACGGCCGTTTACTGCCGTATCTGCACTGTATACGATCGTTTAGGATGCAAATACGACCGCAAACGGTGATTTACGGCGGTCATATACGACTGTATACGGTCGTTTACGGCAGTCGTAAAATTGGACCTGGGCACTAGCTTCTTTAAATATGACGGATTACGTCGGATAGAATCTTTGGCGTTGAATAAGGAGTATAATAGATTAACTAATCACTATCTTTGTTAAAAACATTGAATATTTCACTCTTTGAAAAAAGTAAAAACATAACGGCCAAATATTAGGTTGAGGCAAAGGGCAGCCGTTAGAAAAAAGATTCTTGACTGATATGGATATTACACAGGCAGAACTACTGTGATTATTGTATTTCCGATGCATCGGTAATTTTCAGCTAAAATATGCATAAGAAAAGAGAGCTCACTATTGGATCAGAATTTGCAAATTATAAAAATCGAAGAGAGAGCCTATTCTTGCTAATCAGTTTTATTTATAAAAGAATAATAAAAAAAGATAACAAAATATACTGCTGTCTTATGGACGCTGGTCAACCAGGTTTTTTTGCTCACTTGGGTAAAGGAACATTTGAAAATATATTCTGATCTTTCGGTCATTAAACCTATATTCCGTTTATTAGGTTGATGTAGGTACGATATGACTCACATCGTACCTGAATATATATCGTAATGAATATATAGACTAAAATAGAAAATTTGTTCTTTTCTGTAACGTGAAATAAAGTGCTGTGCATATACATACGAGCACATAACAAAAAAAAATTTGCCGGAAGAAAAATAAGATCATACGAAAGAAAGTAAAACGCAGTGTGTTTGATGTCTACCGTTGCATATATGTAATATACCGTGAAAACCTCCAGCGGAGCCACCGGGTTCAAAAAATCGAGAGGGTCCCAACGAGATCTTTGCGCCGTACAACGTAACTCGTCGCACTGATTCCGAATATGTAAAAATCCTGAGGTACTCTAGTCTAGAAAAAAACCATCAAATTTTGATATGTATAATTTAGAACTGTTTTATACATAACTGCCTTGTTTTGTAATTGCATAAACCTATAACATGTAAAGTTATTTTTACTTTACAAATAAGGCGATAGATGGGAAAGCAACACTTTCAACCAAAATGGTGATTAACGTTTAACAAATCCTATTGTCTTCTTTTATATTCAGTAGCTAAATAAACTCTTTTTCACTACCATGACTTTCCAGCTTTCTCTTCAGGTCATGATAGTTATAGATAACATGTGCTCAAACTTTACGTATTCATCTATAGTTTTATGTATAAAATAAAATAAAGTAGAAATGAAACATCAAAATAAGATTAAATCAAAATTTCGTCTCTTTTTAGAAAGCATATCCTGATATCCTCAAATCTTATTGTCTCTCATCGCGCGAATAGTAGCTACTATTCGCGCCAAAATGCGAAAAGTGATTTGAATCAAGAGATACTTTGCTGACCGTCGATTCATATAATAAGCTGTTCAGGAAAAAATTTTGAACCGATTCTGTCTTCCGTAAAAAAAGTCAATTTTGCGCTAAGGATAAATCGTGATTTGTGATGTGAAAATGACCTTAATAAAAGTTAAAGATCAATCATGTGTGAATTATCATTATATGTAAATCAAGGGCAGATAATATATAGGTAAAAATAATCATATATTGTCTTTTTCTCTCACTGTATTGTGATTCATTTTTCTCTCTCACTATCGCTTACAATGCCTATTATGTAAGCGAAATTTTCTTTTTTGCTGGTTTACTGTTTCCTGTTTATGTAACATCTTTAGTCAAAATACATTCAATTCAATTCAATTCACTTACGATTGTAACCATAATCACAAAGATTAACTTAAAAAAACGAATATGGTAATACTAGTATTACTCTCTCTCCCACTAATCGTATCCGGCCAATTTTCAGTGGGTATTAGTTTGAGTGTATGTGTGAAAGACAATCAACCAACTCAAATCCGTTTAGCATTTATTCCAAATGGAATGACCGTTTCATGGACAACATCAAGTAAAGCTAATTCTCCAACATCAGTAGTAAAATATGGTTTATCAAAAACAAATCTTAATAAACAAGCTTCAGGTTACGTAACCACCTATGGTACATCTAATTTTCATAATGTTTTACTCAAGGGATTGACACCAAATACAATCTACTATTATCAAATCGCTGCTAGTGGAACCGTTGGTACATCAGGCAAATATTCTTTTAAAACTGCTCCAGAACCATCTAATGGACAATTTACAGTAACAATTCTTGGAGATTGGGGTAGTACTAAATTCCTGTCTTTAATTAGAATACCGACAGACCCAGTATGTAGTTGTTCAGGTGAAACTTTAAAAGCACTTAAGAAAAAGTTATCATCAACTGATTTCTTCTGGCATTTGGGTGATGCTGCATATGCTGATGATTTTTATTTGCAGACGTACTATAAAAGGTTGTTTCCTGATCCATATGAAGCTCTTCTCGATGATTTTCAATGTACTCTTCAACCATTATCATCAACTAAAAGTTACATGATATTACCTGGTAATCATGAAGTGAAATGTGCTGAAATACCAGTATATGATTATTGTTCAAAGTCAAACTCGAATTTCACTACATTTTTAGACCGTTATCGTATGCCTGGTATTGAAAGTGGTGGTTTTTCAAATTTATGGTACTCATTTGATTATGGTCTAGTACATTTTGTAATTATTAATACAGAAACAGATTTTCCATCTTCACCATCTGGCCGTGGTACCTTATTAAACGCCGGAAATTTTGGTACTAAAGGTGCACAACTAAAATGGTTAGAAAATGATTTAAAAAAAGCCAATAATAGACGTGCTCAAATACCATGGATTATAGTTGGCGGTCATCGACCATTCTATTCAAGTGCTTTTGATTCGATATGTGATATATGTAGAGCGGTTTTTGAGCCAATATTAATCAAATATAAAGTTGATATGTATTTTTCGGGACACGCACACTGGTAAGAAAATGACTAACTGAATCTTTAATGAATAAAAATCCTCTTATTTAAGGTATGAACGTACTTATCCAATTAAAAATGGAAAATTCAATAAAAATCCAAATAGTTACACACATCCAACTGGAATAATTCATTTGACCACTGGTGCTGCTGGAAATCCTGGTGAGATTACATAAAGACAAATTAATCTTCTATTATCCTTTTTTTGTTTTGTTTAGAATGCGGTGAAGGGCAAGTATCACCGGCAAGTTATTCGGCTAACATATCCTATCAGTGTAGCTTTGGTCAACTACGTATAAACAGTCGAACAAATGCTAAATGGACAGTTTTTGATACGACATCGTCGAAGAATATGAAAATAATTGATCAGATTGACATTAACATAAAACATTGAATGTTTATGTATATTCGTATCATCGTATCATTGTTAATCATTAAAACCATTTATTTATTATGTGAAAGTTTCGTTATATGTGGTTCATATCGCTAAAGCTAATTATACATGTGTGAGATTCATATATTTATTGTTCGGAGAAGTATCGCTTTCATAAATTGTTCATATAACAAATTAAAATTAAATTGTTTAATATCACATTTAAATTCATGTTCTGAACATACAAAATGAATATTTCGCAGAACAGTGGAAATACCTCAGACTCTTGATTCTCTGATTTAACTATGTACTTTCAATAAAAACTGAAACTATTATTTGTCTGTTTTTTCTCGTAAGTAGATATAAGGCAGCATACGTTTTTGGGTACTGTTATAGAGCTGTTCTGTACGAGTACAATGTTGTCGTGTACAGGACTGATAATGCATTTGTACACATCTCTAATTCTAGGAGTTGAATTCCAAAGCACAGTCTTCGTTAGTTTAATTAATTAATAACTCTGCGAATACTTATCAGTTCATTGAAAGAACTTAGATATATATAGTCAGGTATCCTCTTTAAACTGACAAAGTTTGAGGGTACATACAGCGGGTGTGGAGCTCGCTCTTGTGGGCGAAAGAACAACATTTGAGACTCTATAAGGAAAACCTGGAGCCTTTTCCGCCACCTGTGCGAGAAGATAGAGTGAGGCCGTCACTACAACATGATGAAATTCCAGTGTTTTAGTTCTCTTCATTTTTAAGTTAATCAGCAGGCATCAAGGGCTAGTCAGCGTTGTCGTTGTGCCGCTCGTTAATAGTCAGCTTGACGGTCGGGTAATGCACATTCGACGAGGTGCTTTTTCCGTTTTCATTGATGATAAAACACTTCTCGAACGACTTTTGATCTTCTGGATATGATTTTTCAGTTATTGCTGCAGTGCAGTGCGCTAGACATCGAATCCATCTCTGCGCCTTGGTTGATGTATTCATCAGTAGCAGTGGTAGACAAACGACAACTTCTCCGCGAAGCAAATATAAGAGCCAACCAACGAAATCTGATACTCTATTAGGAAAATTATAAATACATTTTTCACTGTTACTTCAATGCCATAGAATATTATAATAGCGTACCTACTCCGAATGAGGAAATATTACATTACTATTTAGAAATGTTTACTATACAGGAACATTTAAGATGCAAATGTACTCTAAGTTCATTTCAGTAAATGAATTATGTAACTTTCTTACACCGGTCTCGATTCTTTATAGCCACATTTTTCTGTAATCCAAATCTGTACGCACATAAACACAAAAGTAACTACTTGTAGTCACAATCGTTTTTGTAAGCACGCAAAATAGCTTGCTTTTAGACTACTTTACATTTGCATAATAAAAACACCGATCATCCAAGGGTTGTTGCAAAATATGATTTCAGTTGAACATCCTTCCTCTTTTTATGTGAGCAGAACGCTGGCATTGGAGACGTGAAATGTAGCCAAAGAGAAATGAAAAGAAAAAGAAAAAGTTTACAAATGGTTACTGAAGTTCTGCTGCATTTTTCACAAACTTTTTATTTTTCTCAAAAACAAAGACGAGAGTCTAGACAGTTGTAGCTGAAAGCAATTTATTCTTTTGCGAGCATTTTTCAACACATTCACTTTGGGCATTTCAAACCACTAGTCATTATTACTACATGGAGAATTGCGGACAGTATCGAGTACAGCAGAACAAATAAACTTTTTTATCTACTTTGTAACACAATGTTATTGCAGCATGCCAGTGTCATAATAAAAACATTACACACAACGTGAAAAACGTGTAAACCACATGGTATTCGGTCACATGCTCCTTAGACAAAATGCTGCCCCGAACTTTTCCTTTCCTAGAACATCTGCTACTCGGAAAAAGCTATCCAGATTTTTGCTCGCCTAGAAAAAATGCTCTCGGAGGACTTTGTGCTCTTTTAGAAGTTTTGCTTTTCCAAATATGTACAAGTATGACGTATAGAGCATTTAACAATATTCTTTATTTTCTTCTCCTCTCTTGTTTATGAACACATTGTTGTGTGACAAAGAAAAGATTTCATAATCTATAGTAACTCCAAATTAAAACCATCATAATCATGTCGCATGGAACGAGGAATATTTCAATGAACTGTTCCTGTTCTAATCATTGACCAGTACTCATATCTGATACTGATAGATAGTTTTTCCCTGTACATAGAGAATAGTTATCTCATTTAGATTGCTTTAGTATCTTGTAGACTTACGAACAAGAGGCACTGCGTCCGCATTTTGTCTATATGCGCGTGTCTGCATGTTGAGTATCTGTGTATAAGAGCGCTTTCAATCTACTTCGTTCTTATGCGTATATAAATATTATTTTTGCTACTGGCTGCTTAAGAAAATCAAGAATATTGTTGTTGTTTTATTTTGTTTGTTGAATATTGGGTTAAATACTCTATACTTTATACTCGTACATATTTTGAAAAACAAAACTTCGAAAAGTCTTACAAGAGCTTTTGTCCTTCGCGACCAAAACTCTGTGTAGCTTTTTTCTAAGTAGCCGATGTCCTAGGAGAGGAAAACTCCGGGAGGAATTGGTCTAGCGAGCATGTGATCGGCATTCAAACCGCAGTATGAAAGATTGCTGAATGAAAGACATATTCCACGAATAGTTGATACACTTACCTTCATATCTATCGTTTCTTTCAAGAGAAAATCTGTTTAGATAACAGCAAACTTCTGAGCACTTGAAACGTCACTGTAAATGCATAAAAGTGTAACCCATAAAATCGTCGAGTATCGTAAAACCTTTGATTTTGATGAACTCAATAAACATCTCTTTTATATTACACCGAGCTAGAGAAGTAAGGATTCAATGCATCGGAAAGTTTGATGTTTATTCACTTAATCTAGATGGTGCAAATGCCTGTTAGCCAAACGAAAGCATAGTGTTTCATGTTGAAATAAAAAAGGTAACGGAGTAACTACGGATATGCAAAAGGTGATTTGAGCGAGAATAGAACTTTAAGTGTAATTCAATAAAAAAAAGTTGAATAGATTATAATAGGTTATTAGTACAGACGTGGTGCATTACAAGCGTGTGTATCAGTTTTCAAATGATTAATTAAAATTTGATTATTCTGCCTCAAGCAAGAGGATCAAACGCGTATTTTTCTCAATACAGGAAATCTATCAATTTCACAGATAGATATTATGTGACACTCAAATAGAAAGTTTTGATATGATATATAAGTTAACACAAACGTATTTTTCCATTGACAAAAATCATGCTTCTGCTTTATGATCAACTAGTCCGTGTCCGAAAGTTATTCCTGCTACAACTGCAGCGATAATACCAAGAAGTGATGAAGCAACCATCAAAATAAAACTATAACCGAACTGCATTTTGAATTCTGTAGATATACCCCCCGCAAAGTCTTTAATCAAATATTCGGCATGTAACAAATAGCCAATAATAATTAATATTGGTCCAGCTATGAAGAAGAAAAGTGGCACAAGTGATAGTAAACGTATTTGTCGAAGAAAACTAATAAAAATAGTTATTACAGCGGTAATAACACCAAATAGTAAGCATACTGCACCGGTGATTGATAAACCTTGTGCTGATTTAAAAGTAGAAACGGTCCTGCAGTTTGTTCCATTAACACATCGTTGAAACAAACTGTATTTTGAGGCTGGAACTTTTCCTTGGAGTAAGGCAGCAAGAATGGGTATAAATGGTATAATGTCAGCAGGAGGGTCAGGAATTTTGTCTAGTGGCAGTTGAACTGTAACCCAAGGTCTTGTAGCAATGCCAATTATTGCCAAGATTAAGGCTATTAGACCAATGAGAGTAGCGAATATAACTAATATCTTATGAGAATTCTTCATTTTGGATTAAACGAGAAAAAGGTTTAAAAGAAAATAAATACTTTTTTTAAACAGTGCGGTGTGTAGTTTCAGTCTATTATGTACCAGTTATTGCAGCGATAAACGACACACTTTATGAGGATATATAAAAATAAATTTATGATCGCAAAAAAGAAGTCAAAAGAAAACGTAACAGAAGAATGAAACGATTGTAAGAAAAAGGCAAGCCATAAAAAAAGGGCGTGGTTCAGAAGCAGATGCTTTTTGCAATAATATTGTCTCAAAAACCTCAATGGATCCTTATATATTCAGTGTTCAGTTAAACCAGTTATAGAGGGAAATGTAAGCACAGCAGGAGTTAGTCTAAAACTCAGATGACGAGGTAGTACTTGCTTTCATATACATTATATTTGTAAGAACATTTTAGTTCAATTCACTGGAAAATACAACACATCATATTCTATTTATCTTACCGTTCCATCTATTCATTATCCACGTTCTATATTTTTCTTCTATCCTATTTTGAGATGTTTAATTCTCTAGGATGTTGAACCCATCTTACCTTTTACCTGATGCAGTGATCAATTATTCCTTTTGTTTTTCATTCGCCGCTAAATATATTCCAAGCAAAATGGAAATTTGGATGTAGGATAACCTGCAGAAAGATTTTTTTCTTTAGACAAAAGACTGACGATTATTAAAAAGATCACTAAATGTCTGTCTATTGCTCTTCCAAGAAATAAGGTAGCACAGGACAACTTTTTGAGCACAGGAAACTTTTTGAATTCATTTAAACAACTAAGATCGTTGTACAAGAGTCCTTTAGAGAGCACTATTGTTTTGAAATAAACCGTGTAATATTCTTCTTTAAAGCAATAGACGCTCCAATATGATGTGTTTTTATATGAATTGATGACCATATGAAAAATAAATCCGGAGTGGGAGAATCGGCCGCATTTTATCTGTAGATTACAGATACAACCGATATTTTACTTACGAGGGAAGTACCCCAACTGATAAATCGCTTTTTCAACGAAACCGAGTGGACTATAGGTAGTCGACGATGCTGATTCCGAATATCACCATGAATGCTGCTGCTAGGCCTTCAAAGACCGGTCTTCT